TCATTGGGAATATCTTCCTAATGGATCAAAAGTTTTCTTCAGCAATAAATTCAACAGATTCTTGGACAAAACACATCAGACCTAAATTTAGGAAAGGAAAAAGATCTGGGGAAATCTGATGAAATATTGAAGATGCAGGTGTTTGTAATATTGGTGTGCATGCATGCATGTGTGCGCGCACGCACACACATATTTACTAAGGAAACTGAAATGCCTTTTGCTGTCAGAAACCCCCTCTCACACCTGTGTCTTCCCATCTGATTCTTATGTGGATGGTATCTCTTATTGTTTGCTCTTATGATGTACAATTGCTAGCTGGGGCACAATTCCACTGAAAGGCACTGCAAATCTTGCAGCAGTTTGACTACAGGATCGTTTTTGCATTTGGGGTTTACCTCTGATTCTGCATTCTTTCAATATTGCCAAAGCTTGCTATGTTAGTTGCTTTTTCAGAGCTAAACCAAATAGCTTTTCCTTCTCCACCCCCCCCCTTTGCCTCTACCCCAACCTGCATGAAAAAAATAATTTCCATTTCAAAACCATAACTGAATCTGAAGGTTCATTTCTGGTGTTCTTGAAAGTGGCTCCTTGATTCCTAGTTCAGACAATCCCATATTTTCTATCTGGGCTTAGATTTTTCATCAGTCTGGATGCAAGTGCACACATAGCAAAATTGGGCATCTTACAAGTCAATGTGGCATAGGAGTTAGAGGGTCAGTCTTGCACTGGGGAGACCAAAGTTCAAACTCTCATTTAACCATCAAGTCATCAACCATGAAGCTCACTAGATAACATTGGGTGATTCACTGTCTCTAAGCCAAACCTAGTTCATAATATTTATTGTTAGGATAAAACTGAGGACCACCACCTCAAGCTCCTTGGAGGAACGGAGATATAGAAACATAGTGTTGTGAGTTTGGGGGATTCCATTGTTGAAAGAGCCAGGCAGCCTTTGGGGTGAGTTAATAGGCCCTAAATATGGGTCATTAGCAGTGTTGTTGTTGTTGTTTTAATGTATTTTTATTAAAGATTTTATTGGTTTACAAAGTATGTGCAATCTCTCTCTCTCTTTTCAAGTAACATTTTTTTACAGATCAGTTTCATTTGTTGAGACATTAGGAAGAAAAGGGGAAAACAGGTGGAGGGGGGAAAGGTGAGTGGGGGTGGTGTGGGGTGGTGATGTTTCTCTTTTACTTAATATATGTGGGGTTTTGTGTCAGAGTCGCTTGTGCAGGTTTTTTAAGTGTCAACCGTGAAGTTGTTATAGTAAGTGCCACACTTTTAACATGGGGGGAGGGGGGGAAGCACTGGTCATTGGTATAGGAAAGGAAGTTGCTTTATGCCAGAGGGCAAATGCGTTGGCTCCCTCTCTCACCTGGCTGGTGGTGAGGACAATAGCCAGTGTAATGTGTGAGAGAAATCTGGGCAGGAAGCAGGCAGGAGCCTAAGAGGGAGAGACATGCTTGAATCGAAGGCTGTAGCTTTAGGAGAAGAAGACCTCCTTATGGTATTAATGATGTGAGCCCCTCCATTGCAGGTACAGGTTGTACATATATGGAAATAAACCATATATCACTAAGACACCACAGACTCCGCTGTCCCTCATTCTGAGACAAAATGGAACCCTTGGAGCCTTGTCTTGCCTGGAGACATGGGTACAAACCTGGCATGGGTACAAACCATAACTTGATTTGTCACTCTTCAGACTACTATAGGAATGCTTTACTATATCGGAGATGTTGTTGGCATCCGTTTGTATCAAGAGATAATGGGCGGTACCTCTGAGGAGGAAGTGAAACCGCTATGTTAACAGCACCAAAATGACCTTCCTAGGGTGTGAGCCTGGGCAGTGTTTCTGGAGATCCTGGGCTGCCCAGACGACAAGACCCTCCTCTCGGCCTGGCTGATGAGGTCCAAAAGAAAGCAGAGCAATACGTTTGGCACCAGCTTGGCTGCAGGAGTTCCAGAAGGAGGTGTACAAGACATCATCCAACCACCTTAGGGAATCCACTCCAGATACAGTTCTCTGGTTGCTTCATTGCTGAAAGTGATGGTGGGGAAGCAGTGGAGATATTCAATGAAAATGGGAATCTCCATATTCTGTGTGCTTTGAGATGGTGGGCAATGACTGCCTTCCATAAAGGTCTCAGAAAGGACTGAGGAATACTTTCGGTTGTTGGATAGTGCCAATGACAGAGAATATCAAAGGCATATGATGCTGGACAGCAGAAGGAGCCTATAAGCTTTTTGCACAACAGCTTCTGGGCAGGAGAAATCTACCTGAGTAATGAAAACTTAAATAGTTCAGCAGCAGCGCTCTTAGAGGGACACCACAACCATACTTAGCACAATGTGGAACTGGTCCTGCAACTTTATGTAGAAATCACAAGCCTGACACTCCACAACTTTGTCAAACATCAGCACTTTCAAGATTCCAGGCTTTCTAAGGACTTTGTAGTGTGAGTCAGAAGTAGAAAGGTGAGTTAGGGATAAGAGGCAGGAACAAGCCAAGACACATTTGGGGAAACCACAACCCCACCCCAATTTTGGAAGGAGTAATGTACTTTTCAAACATTCTGTTTGGGTGTCAAGAGAATCCCTTTTCCTCTTGGTTTGCTGATAAGCCACATGTTTCATTCACATGTCTAATTTAAATATGATGATCATCTTGTACAACGGAAGAAAAGATAGGTTTCATTGGAAGGAAAAGTAAAACAAAAAACCCCACATCCTCAGGATTTCTCAAGCGCGGAAAGCTTTTGAAATGGGGTGAACAGAAATGGTTGTTAATCGCCATCTAGTGGCTTTAAGGCAAACTGCATATGTAGTAAGGAATCCATTTAAATTGGATTAGTGTTTATAATGCTGTTGCCTTGATGTATATTTTGCAATCTGGTCGGCAGGCAGATCTCGAGCAGACATATAGGGATGAAGGGATCATAACTGCTGACTGCATTGTTATGGAGACATAGGTAGTGAGTACCAAAACTGCAGGTCCTCTGTGTGTTGTGGGTATGGAGAAACCATTGGCTTATTCTGTTGCTTTCTATCCACAGAGAGAGAGATGCCATACATTCTGTTCCAGTAGAGAAAGCTGTAGGAATCCAAGGCTTTCATATTGCCTAGACAATAAATAGTGTATGATTTGGCCCTTTCACTTTTTCATATAATACGATTGGCAGCATTCTGGTCCTCTTGTTATCTGAAACTCCAGATTCTTGGAATTCTCAGAGCTCATGTCAGTGTAACCCTAAAATAATCTGACCGCTTAACCTAAGCATCCCTAGCCATACATACCAGCATGCCCAATTTGTCTAATGCCACATTCCCTTCCAGATTAAGTGGCATTTAATAGGTTGGCAGGCATTATCATTCATTCATTGGTTAATGGGGGGAAATACAACAAGGAGCCTGAGTGTCTGCAACAGTGGTGGGAAGCAGAAAGGGGAGGGAGAAATGCAGTTTGTTTTCCAAACAGAAACAGCTCTTGCAGGAAGCTAATTAAACTGTATGGCAAATACAGAAAGGCCCCATTCATTAAAGTTATATAAAGGCCCCAACCCCAGACTCTTTCGACTAGGACCAAACGTCCCCTAAAACAAAGCAGCGCTCTGAGGGGCCCAATCAAGTGATCTGATGAACAGTCTTGTTGACTTCGGAGAAGCTGGTTTCAGGACCTCCTGGAGAGCTTACAGAGTTTTGGGGTAATATAATAATATGCATAAGAGATGGGCACAGGAACACTGTGGTATGTGTGCAGCCGGGAGAATAGTGTCTCCTCAAGCCAGGAAGACCAGGAACTGCTTATTCCCCCCCCCCTTCTTTATCATTTATGTAGCGCAGCCTTTGCCAGCCTGGTGCCCCCCAACATGGGGCTGGAGCTGATGGGAGTTGTAGTCCAAAACGTTTGGAGAGCACCAGGTAGGGGATGGCTGATGTAACATATTTGTTCACCTGTTCAAATCTGCCCCAATATTAACCACTTGACTACCGCCAACCAATAGGCACTATTTACATGGGGGGGGCGGGGAATCCTCACCTCTCATCCTTGGCATGAATGCATTCAGTGGGGAAGTCAGGTAATTTTACACTCCAGAAATTAATTAATTTTTTTGTTCCTGGGTAAGTACTATAGTGGCTCAGATTGTTCTGATGTTCTCATGGAACAATAAGCATATTTATGTTCCTCAAACAAGCACTGTTTGAAATAGCCTACGGTTGTTAGTTTCAGCAGCTGCTGATTCCACTATACTGGCTAAAACGCTGCATTTCTATTGCCTTCAAGTCAGGCCATATTGCTGCCTTGAGGTTCATTTTGCATTCTTGGGGGCCATTTTGTGTTCCTGGGTATCCATCTTCTATGGCTTATGTGACATCTTCCTTCAGAAGAAAACAAAAACGAAATGTGTGTCTCAGGAGAAATTTGCACTCAAATGCTGATGTATTTTCTTGTGGATTAAAAAAAATAAATCTTTGCAAACTGATGTGAAAGAGCTTCAATTCAGATTGGAAAAATGAAAAACCAAGATTGACAGATCCACCCATCTCTATTTCCTAATAATAATTGCTAGCAGCTTCAAGTACATGGAAAAATGCAACTCTGGAGCCATTGCTGGTTGTGGGCAAGCTTGCTGGCATGGAATGTCTACCTTGGTACTGTAAACACTTATTTGTTTCTTTTTATGTCACTGGCCTTCCAAGGAGTTGGGGTGGGGGCAACTTGGGGGTTATCCTATTTTATCTTGACCAAAAAACTGTGAAAAGGTAAGGCTAAAGTGTTGTGCATCTGGCTCAAAGCCACCCCTGGGAACTGCCGTACTATCAGTCAAGAGTGAGGTGGCTGCCTCATGCTGGTGGTTTGGGGTGTAGAACAGGGCCCTTCAAATTCTTACCTTCAAATATGGTATTATTTCTAGTCCCAGGGAGAGGTATTTGAGAAATTTTCTGCATCAGATGTCACTGTAACTTGGCCAACCTAGAGGCCAACAGTGGAGGCATCCCAGCTTCCTGCCCTACCAGCCTCCATTGTTGTCCTCAAAGCTGGCCAAGTTCTGTTGACATCTGAAAATAACTTGGACAACCTAGAGGACAACGGTGGAGGCTGGTAGGGCAGGAGGCTGAGATACCAACAGGAAGTGGAGCCAGAGAAGAAGCCAACTAATTTTGCCTTTCCCCCACCTTCCTCCCTGTTGTGTTCTACAAAGGCAACACTGAGGCTGAGGAAGAGGTAGAGGAAGCTTACAGCCAGCAGCACTCCCTAGACTAGTTGTAAGTAAAGAGTAGGCAGGTTGGGACTGACTGAAGGCAGACTGATCTTGGTGGGGCAATGTCCCACTTACCCCAATGGGTCAGCCTTCACTGGGAGACAATGCTTCTTGACCAGGTTGAGATGGGAAGGGGCCACCATTTGCTGTTCCACCCCAAGCAGCAAACTGTCTTTACCCAATCCTCCCCAGTGACCTTTGTGTCTGAGTGGGTGTTTGAACTCATTTCTTGCCTCTCAAAACTCCAGCATGCTTTCCACTACACCACACGGACACTCAATGGTCTTCCTGTGATCCTTGCCCAATGTTGTCCTGAGGCTTTGGTTCCAGCTATGAAAAGTTGCTATCATGCCTTGTAGAACTACACCTCATAGCACTTTTGGGGGGCCACACTCTAAGGCTGAAATCCTATTCACACGTGTGTTAAAATAAACTCCACTGAACTCAGTTATGAGAAGGCATGATTAGGTAGCACAGCTAGCAGGCGGGCGCTTCACATGTTTGCTGCTTTGGAAAGGCAAACCTGTGGAAAGAAGGAAAAAGAGAAATATGTAAGTATTCTGCAATAGGCCCGGAATCAGTGCAATGGGCAAAATTACTACTGGATGAGAGTGTTGGGTTTGGGATTTTTTTTATTTTTTTAATGCAACACATCTACCTCAGCGGACCAGTTAGACTGTGCCCTTTCTTGCACAGTTGTCTATTACTGGGAAGCTTGTAAGAAGAGATAAGAAACACAAGCGCTGCAGCTGATTTGGGGGCCTCCAATCAGGTCACTGGGCTTCCTGCCATCAATTCTCAGGGGGAGCAAATCAGAACCGGCCCTTTGGTAGCTGCACCTGCTTACAGAGTGAACCCTAGAGGAACATCAAGTGTTTTTAAACAGCGTTTTAGAGAAGATGCGTCTCCCTAACACAAAGCAATTGCCATGCTTTCTTTCCCGATTGCCTTTTCCCTTCTCTCAAAATGCCAGCGAGGAAAACAATCTCAAGGGGGAAGGAGAAAAAGAAATCCTCTATACCATTCAGATTTTCTTTTAGGACCAAGAAGGAAGGGGGGTGGGGAGCTTTAATTTTCTCATTTTGCTTTTAATTCCATGCAGTCCTGCAGTTTGGTGGGGGGGGGGGGAAGGAAATCTCTGAAAAGGAACGTGAAATGGTATCTCTTCTCAGCTGCAAATCAGCTGCTAATTAAAACTGCATTAACCCTAATGGATTGGAACAAGGATCTAATTTAGAAAACCTCTGTTTATACAAGGCAGAACGGAATAACAAACTCAACTGGACTCGCTCCACTCCCTCGCTTTCTCACTCTGGCATCCATGATTTGACAGAGGCAGCTTTACACGGAGGCTGGGATGCTCTCCTCTCCTCTCGCCTCGCTGCTGCTGAAATCAGCAGTGCGAGCTGCTGAGCATCAAAACACTTTTTATTGTTGTATCCGGCACAACTCCTGCCTTGAGATGTGCTTGTGCTAATCAGTGTCACAGGTGCTTATAATAGTTCACCTAATTGCTTCATTATTTTTTTGCCACTCCACAGACCAGTTTGTATTTACTGTACAGTATATATAGTTAAACTTATTACAGCTACTTATGGGGATGATTTCCAGCTATTCCGCGAATTCTCCCTTGGTTAAGGCAAGTATTGTCTTGTTTTCCTTTATTTCCCAGGTGGTTCTGCTAGAAGCATCAGGGTGGAATCTAATTAATGACAGTAGCTCCTCCAGCTTGGGTGATAAAGGTTGTTTTGGAAAAGGCAGCTTAAAAACTGGGCCATGTGAGCAAGGAGCTCTTAATGTGCCAATAGCCCCCTCTGCCAAGGAGAACAAACTATTCCCCTTGGACTCTGCTCTGGCCCTAAGAACAACGGCAGGCCTTGGGTTTGCCTTGTGTGTGTGTGTGGATGTGTGTGGATGCAAAGCAGCCTGTGCCGCCCCGCCCCCCCCCCAAGGTTCGTTCTAATGAATGCCAGACCATAAATTAATGAAGTGGGGTTTTTTTTATGGGGGCCACATTGTGATTTGTAACCCCTGGAGCATGGACAAATCTGCTAGAAGTCAGGGCAGCTTTTAAGAGCTAGTTAGGATGGTGAGTGTTTACAAATGAGATGCTCCCCCTGAAAAAGGGACCCCCCATATTTGTCTTTCATTGCCATACATCCTAGACTCCAGGGAGAGGGAGTGGTGGTTCAGTCAGTGAGTAGGAAACTGCCATAGTCCTCAACAATGCCTAACCAGTGGAATTTGGACCCAACAGGTTCTCACTCATAAAGGAGGCCATTTAGCATCCTTGCTGTTGTTACGAAGGGTTGTCTCTTGTTCCAACCCAACAGAACACACTTTCCCTATTGTGTTCAGCATTTCCATCACCATTGCAATGGAGAGATTTCTGAGAAAGGAACAAAATGATTTGCCTATTCAGGAAGCCTTGCTTTGAGCAGCCTTCATTTACCTTCATCCTCCTGGTACTAAAGGGTCATCAGTGTGGCTGGTACTTCCTTTCTCCCAAGTGACAGCAGCACACAGTCACTCCTGATTGGTTTTGTAGCATCACGAGACCATAAATAAAATCAATATGTTTTTTGTGTTCCTCTTTTTTCATGCATGAAATGCTTTCTGGCTGCTAACACCTTTCTTCAAAGTAATTTCTTTAACTTCAAAAGCTTATTTTAAAGGATGTGTGGAAATACATCACAGCTTTTTTTAAAAAATATGCGAAGTCCTACACTGTGCTTGGGGTGAGGGTGGGGTGAGACTAGCCCATGCCTAAACCCCTAGGCAGCTTCCTGCGTCTTTACCTTCCTGCTTTGAGGGATGAACTCTAATTTGTTTGCACTGACCCATCACATGCAGAATCTAAGGTTACTGCAATGCACCTCAACCATATGAGAAGCTTACAAGTTTCTCTTTAAGTCTTCTGCAATACAACCTTAAGTACTTTTCAGGGCTTGTGCAATAGCGACAACAAAAAGGAATCACGCTTGGAATATGTTTTATCCCAGCAGAAGCAGAGCTGGGATTGACCCCATGCTGGTGCATCCCATACTGTTCTTCTCTAGGTCCTCCTCTGTGTTTTTTACACCCTTCCCCCTACCCACCCAGCACTTCTTATGCGTGCAAAGAACCACTCCCTTTCCTTACAAGCCATGATTTAGTGCTTGTTTCAATAACAGGATTTCTTTTTCAGTGGATGGGCACCATAAATCAAGCTGTGATCCATCAGCAACAGAGCACTAATTTCCTGGTTGCAAGTGAATGCGTTGCATAATATCCTCTTGTCCCTCTGACCTAGGGCTATCCATCCAGTGCTTGGCCAGCTGGATACTCCTCTGTATAAGCAATAAGATGCTGTGAGATTTTACCTGCTTCATGGAACATTCTCCACCCCCTGCCATTCACAGGCTGCTGTCTATTTCCCCCATGACTTCTGCCTTAACCACCTTTGGCCTGGTCACCCAGCTTTTTCCAGACAGCTCATTCCCTCTAGGAAATCAAGTTCTCTACAGGTGCGGGGAAGTAGGAGTTAGGAACACACTCTCAGGTGCACCTTTCATTAGAAGATCCCTCCCCCCTGGATCACCACAACCTTCATCTAGATAGACCACCATCTTGTTTACGCCAGTGGCCAGTAAGTTGCTATTAAGAAGCCCACAGCAAAGTCATGAAGACAATAGCCACCCCTCATCACGCCCCCTACACATCAAGTAGTATTCTGATAGGCTACATCTCAACTTGGAGGCTTTGTTTAGATACTAAAGATATCAGAGGTTGAGAGACATCCTCCAGGAATGAGTCTAAGCCAACAACTTCCATGGCAGTGGAAGAAAATGTCTGTATCTGCACACTCCATGTCACACTCCATATCTGCACACTTCAGATTTTATCATGCAAACCTTAGGTATCTTTCCCTCCCTTCCATTTTTAGCAGAAGACATGACTTAAGGATGTACAGTTCATATCAAGGGCGCAGGCTTCTGGGGACTGAGGCTCTGTGCCTTCTCATTTTTATGTTCAGGGGGGCCCCCACGCGACATCAGAATGTCACACAGTATTGCGCATGGGCCCCCTCAATTCTATGGGGAAGATGGTGCCTCATATATTACAGGGGGTCATGTATGTGTACAGAAGATTCATGGCAAACCTGTCTTGTTTTTACGTAGCAGTGGCATCAATGTACCCTCCCTAGTTTTCTGAGATGATACCATAACACCAAAGGTCTTTAACACTACACAGATACCGCCAGTTGCAATCTGGAGTCCCATGTGTATGGGTCTTCTTTGCTGTCTGGGGGAGAGCAGCCCCTTGTATGAATACTTGTGGGCGCTTCTGTTTCTGTAGCCAGAAGTTGAGAAGCCCCAGTGATATGAGCTAAACCGCTTCACTGAATTGTGGCCAAGATATTATCCACGGTGATGGCACTCTCATTCTCTCTCTCTCTCTCTCTCTCTCTCTCTCTCTCTCTCACACACACACACACACACACACAAACACACCCCGCTGGTTTAAAACAGTAAGGATCAAGATGTGGCTTAAATCAGTTTGTAGCCACAATGTAAAACCTGCTTTAGCTATGCATTTCATTTCTCTTCCATTCCATATTAGCGGCGTTCACACATTGCACAACTAGCATGAAAAAGGCTCTAAGGTACATTTATGTCTCACTTGCGAAAAACCTCCTAGCTTTGAACTAATGAAAAGCATCTACAGCCGCTGTGAATTTCTTCAATAAAAGCAAGGGAGCAATTAACAAGGCTGGATAGGAACTGTGTTTAAAAATCAAATGTAAATGTAAGAAGTTAAAAATGCGCACACGCAGGATTTGTAGCTCTTTAGTAATACTTGCTTACCCCTTACAC